TACGCATCTAATTATGCAAATTTATGGGCAGAGTAACTTACAATATTAAATGTAAAGAACACATTGATTGGACAAATGTGTTTGAAAGAACTTTGCATGACTGAACAATGTTACGCTCACCCAGATAATTACGAATGTTGAACTATAGTATAAAAAAAAAGGTTGCCATGGCAGCTTTGAAAGATGATGAAAATTGCTTGCATGGCAAAACCACTAAACTTTGATACTCTAGTGCAAACTTGAATGTTATTAAATCCATACGAAAGAAAAATATTAAAGTATGAAGAACTTGTTGACTGCAAATCGTACTCTTCTTCTATAAGTTGTTAATACGCATAATGGTTGTATAAACCCATCCTGATTAATTGTCATTGACAAACAGTACTTATCAGAGGCGAGCAACACAAAATTTTGCATGGGGGGTGAGATCTGCTCATTAAACTTGTGCCAAAGGCCTCTGTGACGACGCCACTGTTTATGTTCTTTTTATTGAAAAGTAGGTAGTAATAGGTATTTATCGGATTTCCTGCCAAGTCTGTGTTAAATTGATCTGTATACATTATTAAATTTGGAATATGGATCAAACAAGTATACATATTGTTACTACCATTATGCAAACTTCCTTCATCTTCAAGGAGTTAAAAACAAAGATTTCATGCATGTTTAAACGGATTTGCCAAAAAAATGTTAATATCTAAGCTGGCAAAGGGCTTATTGTCGAAAGATTTCAGACTTTTTAAGAATTATCTCAATGTTGTTGGTCTCCAACTGTCTGTTATTATCAAAATGTCTCACACCTCATGTATACTTCCAAATATTTAAAGTATACTTAATATGAAAAATTAAACTTCTTTTTGTTTTGTTTTTTGCTAATATCTCACGCATTCACTAGAATGCTATTAGTTGTACTGCTACTCAAATCTTTGTTCTTACTAATCAGGAAGCAAATCCTCTCGTATATCCATACTGCTATGTATACTTGATTTGTCTTTCTATCCAGAACATTGAGATAGCAATAGTTTTACAAATATTTTTCAATATGTATTTGTGTTTTTATGGGGCAATCGTGTGAATGAGCTTACACTACTACAGGGGTAGCTTCATGTGCCCACTGAGTTGAACAAATCTTAAAACCTATGATATTACTTCCAGAGAATTTCAAGTCGATTGTAATTTTAAATAATACGTTTTATTGCTATTTCTACATCTTAAATATACATTCATGATTATTAAATTCACTCTCTGGATCAAAAGTTGTTCATTCAACAATTAGAATTTTTATTATAAATAATTCCTTACAAGGATATGATCTGCTGAATATAATATATATAACTAATATTTAAAATACATTATTTTATTCTTCATTTGTTGAGAGTACAACTGTTGACCGTTTCTCTAACAACAATTATATTTGTTCATATAAGACCAAAGAACCCAACAGCTTCCAAATCTTTTTGTAGATTTTCACGATTTTCCTTGGTGAACTCAATTAATGGTAATCTAGGTGGCCCAACATCTAGGCCACTTAAGACCATGATACATTTATTGGCATCGACAGAACCACCTATAGAGAAATAGATAAATAAATCAGTCAAGTAGGTGAATATACCCTAGATAGTCAATACCATGGCCCCCTCAAAAAATAAGTGACTGTTCCTGCACAACGGTAAAGATGCATCTTAATTATGTCAATAGACAAACATCAACAGTTTCGCAGATGGAGTTTCAAGTCACACACAAGCTTCTCTGTTCAGTGATAAAAGATAGGCTATAGGACTAAATCAATATTCGTTGTGAAGAATTTTCCATTGAGATTACTAAAAATCATGTCTTTTTAGCTAGCATGTTATTGTAGCTAATCCGCAACTTCACTAAATTAAAGACGTTGCTAATTAGAATAGAGTATATTCTTACAGGTAAGGCTATTGGACACTTTAGCTAAATTAAGATTCAGTTAATTTATGCATTGAG